GTCAGGGAGAGTGTGTGAGAGGCACCATGTGGGGTGGGGAGGGTACAAGGGGGTGCGTGAGAGGCATGGTCAGGGAGGGTCGGCGAGTGTGTGTGAGGGTGCACTAGATGCATGGCATAGAATGGGGAGGGGGTGTGAGGATGCAAGGGGGTGTGAGGGAAGCACAGCGAGGGTTGGGGAGGGTGCGCTGGGGTGCGAGGAAGGCACAGTGAGGGTGGGGAGGGTGTGTGAGGGTGCAAGGGGGGTGAGAGTTGTGAGGCAGGTCAGGGAGGATGCATGAGGGGGTGAGGGGGTGCCTGAGAGGTGCAGTGAGGGCCAGTGAGGGTGTGCAAGGGTGTGAGAGGGTGCATGAGAGTCACGGCATGAGTCAGGGAAGGTGTGTGAGGGTACGAGGGATGTGCGAGAGACGTGGCGCAGGTCAGGGAGCGTATACCGGGTGCAAGGGAAGTTCAGCGAGGTTCAGGGAGGGTGCACAGGGGTTCGAGGGAGGCGTGGTGAGGGTCAGGGAGAGTGTGCAAGTGGCCGGCGTGGGGCTGGGGGAGGGGGGACTTACCCCATTGACTTTCTGGGAAAGTCAGTAGGGAAGATTGCAAATGGCAATCATGTGATCATGGGGCACTTACCAACCTGTTCTAAGTGTGAATGGGTTGCCAAGTGCCCAGATCACAATCATGTGGCCACAGGGGGTGCTGGAACAGCCGGAACTCCAAGGACTGGTTGTAACCACCATTCATTCAGCATCATTGTAACTTGGAATGGTTGCAGGTCGAGGAATACCTGTAGACAAGACAAGAGGTATCCAGTCCAGTACCATCCATTCCCACAGAATAAAAGTAAAACAATCCACACTCCTATATAGCCTGGCAAGCATCAACCGGTTCAGTGTATCATCCCATTACAAGAAAGCCACAACAGAGCCCACCAGTGCTTCACCATGGTCTCAGTGCTAGAGAACAAAAGATACCCTACAGAACACCGCTATCCTTGTATGGTTCCCTAATCCCATGTCAGAGGCAGGTGGCAGGCCATGGAGGTGAACTACCTGCCCCCCATCCTCCATGCAAGTCTCTCTCCCATCCATGTATCTGAAGAAATAAGGGGAAAACTGGGTCACAGCACAGATCACCAATCTCATCAATATTTTCGGTAGTGAAGAGGTACAACAGGCAGCTCAGAATAGCATGGAAAGGGAACATCATTCTGACATAGACAACAGCTCACTAATTCCAGTTTCCTCCAGGATGAATCCACCCCCTTTTCCTTTGATGACTCTTCTTTTTTCACTCAAAATCCCTTCCATACCCCTTGCTACCTGCCTGCCAATGGAGAAGGGAGTGGTGATGTAGGAAATCTTGCTAGAACGTTCTTGCAGCAAATGGGCAGGAATTCAGCATCCCCCAAATGGAGACATTTGACCTCACTGACCCCCAGATTTTATGTCCTGACAAAATCACTGCAGAAGAAGTTGACAGGGTCATTGGCTGAGTCATCTGCATATACAAAGAGAGCCTTTGTGGGAAGGCGTCCAAAGGAGTCCCTTGCCCTGGCACCAAAGCAGAGAATCCAGCAAGGCGTGTGTTATCTGTCAGAACAAACAGGCATTAATTTCCCTTGGTTGCTATCACTGTTCTGTAGAGCTAATCTAGTTTAACCACAGCCATCAGCTGTGCAATTATGGTTTCATATTGCTCTTTTTATTTATGTAAACAAATGTTGGAAAGTCTAACTATTGACAGCAAAAAGATGAGCAATGATCAGACTTACAATTTTCATACCAAACTGGTCCAAAACATACATATGTTGCTGAAGGAATTACAATCAGAGCCATCTGCAGTGCTGCAAGTATGGTGAGGGTTATAGAAAACAAGCAATGTGATGTTGCCAAAAGTTGGCTAGCATCGAGGCAAAAATAGACCTGATCTAAGGGCAGGAACTGGCCTGACTAAACCATAAACAAGAACAGCAGTCTTGCTTTGCAAAATCTGGGAAGTTTCTCTTCACTGGCTACTTCACCGAAAATGAAATGCTGTAATTTTCATTTTCACTTAAAATGCAAGTGTTACTCCGTAAGGTCATGAATTGCACAGTGATGAGATGTACATAGCACTCTGATACAACACTCAGAAGTTTAAATATATCGTTTTTATATCCAGTGTTTGCTACAAGTTTATTGCCTCCTATTGAGTGATTGATTACATGCCATCAAGTCAGTGTTGACTCTTAGCAGCCACACAGACAGACCTTCGCAGGATGATCTGTCCCCAGTCTGGCCATTCAGGTCTCCCAACAGTAGTGGAGAAACAAACAAGTCACTTATGCATGAGACAGGAGAGAAGCAACAGGGATAACACATCTTTTACACAAAGGCCCATACTGCCACAGATATTGTGTGATCTTTCTGGTATCCAAATAGCAATGCACACACGCCATATACTTGGGATATTTTTCTCTGTTGAGGACATGGGCCTGAATCTAGCAGCACCCTTAAAGTTAGGTTGTGCTACTTTATTTGTAGCTGTAAATGGGAGAAAACTTCTGTGAGAAAACCAGAAGTGATCTATGCTTGAAGGCTAGCATTTCTCTGAGGAAAACTCTTCTATAGGCATTGGGAATCCAGTTCCATTGCCAAGTATTTACTGACACATAGTGGCAAAATGAATCCACTACACCCATTTCACACTTTTCAGTGTGAACAGTGAAAAAGTGTTGCAAAGATTATCTTTTTGATTGATTGATTGATTGATTGATTAGATTAGATTAGATTAGATTAGATTTATTTTGGATTGTTTAGATTTATTCTGATTTATACCACTCTTCCAACAAGGGAATCAAGGTTTCTTTGGGAAATTCTATTACAGTTGTTTTTTGTTTGCCAAAAGCAGAATACAAAATATGACATAAACCATTCTTTCCTACTCAGCAGATCATACAAGAAACTGGACTGGTGACATTCTTGAAATGATAACGCAGTCATCTAGACTGCTAATGGAATCAGAGAATATCCTAAGTAGGTTGAACACTAAAGGTTACAGTGAGCTACTGCCTGCAACATTGATGAAGTGCAGGGTGATTGGCTCAGAAGTAAATTCAGTTGGGTGCGATAGGATTTATTCCATAATAAGTTTGGACATCAAGGCAGTTACTACCAAATAACTGCTTCAGTGCTAAAATGCAGCATCACTTCCAAACTTAAAAAAAAAATAATAGATGGATAGATCTAGTCTTTGATTCTTAAAACAAGTTTCCCGCAGGCCACTGAGTACCTGGATGCTGGACTAGAAAGACTTCCACAGGGCTGCGTGTTGAGTTTTTTATGAGGATATGAGAAGTACGTAGCACATGAAATCCATAGCAGTAGCACATTGAAAGAGCTTAGAGCAAACTTAACTGAAGAAGCACCCTCCCGAAAGAGAACAGTTGGCACCTACATCATGGCCCCTACTGAACCAGATGAAGGCTTTTTCATTTTCCCAGGCATTTGAAAAACCAGGTCAGGATTATGAGAACATCGCTTTTTGCTGCTCCTTTGCTATTCTGATTTTGTGTTCTATTTATTGCCGTGATTATCATGGCTCCTGATCTTTCTCTCCCTCTCGTGCTGTTTTCTGAATTGGTTTTCATATAATTTTTATATTATTTTACTTTTTATGTTAAATGTTAACCCTATACCTAGACACCTCCTGGGGTGAAGTTCTCATGGAGAGGATGCCAACAGAAGAGAATATCTGTAGCTCAGGTTGAACTGTGGGGTGCTTGGTGCTCTCTGAGCTTGGTTGTTTGCTTGCAGACGTTTCATTACCCAACTAGGTAACATCATCAGTGCAGGTGAGTGTGGGGTTTTCTCCCTGTTTATATACAGTAGCTTGCCATGCTAGTGAGGGTGTGGTTTTCTCCTTGGTAGTTCCTTGATTAGGGTATTAGGGTATCAGTCATCAATAGATACATAGAGATAACCACCACATTTACACACCATTCAAAAGAGACAATAAAAAAGCTAAGGAGGAAACTAAAAGGCCGGAACACATCCTCTCCAGCAGCCAACACCCAGATAATCAGGGATTAACACCAGACAAACAATCAAGCAGAAAACAATACCGTAGTCAAGGAACTACCAAGGAGAAAACCACACCCCTACCAACTCTAGCAGAGAGCAAACCCCACACTCACTAGCACTGATGATGTTACCTAGTCAGGTAATGAAATGTCTGCAAGCAAACAACTAAGCTGAGAGAACACCAAGGACTCCATAGAGAGGGTGGCATAAAAGTATGGTCAAAGGGAAAGCTAGTAAATGTTCAATTGGCACTAAGGAAACCCATGTTCTAGTCTACCCTTAGTCACAGAAACTCTCTGGGTGACTGTGGGCCATGGTCTTTCTTTACCTCATCTATTGCACAGGATTGCTGTGATGGAGAAAAATGGAAGGAAGGATGCTATGTACACTATCTTGAGCTCCTGAAGGAAACGTGGAATATACATCCAAATAAACAAACAAACAAACAAATAGAGTGCCTGTGACATCCATCAGTGAGTTCTCGTTCTTCACAATTCTATTTTTCTAATTTTCATTTGTAGTCCTAGTACTGCATTATCCAAGTAGACAATGGTGATTAAAAGGCTTTCAGCTCTATAAATCATAGGGATTCCACCGAACTGACCAAATGCAGCTATGCCTTTGTAAGCCTTCCAAATGTGGAGAGTTCTTGCTCTCTTTCTCTCAGTCTCCCCCCATCCACCCAATCAATCTTCTGGGCATCCTTGGGTATTATGCAATTTTGCCTCTGTAATTGGATTGCCCTGCACTGTGTAAGAGATGTTAATCCATTGCGTTTCTAAGTAGGAGGAAGAACAGCTTGGTCGGTCAATATCTGAGGACAGTGATGAAGGACAGCCCTTGCTCAAAACGATGTGCATTCCTCACCAATCCTCTTTCACCATGTTCATCCAGTTGGCTATTTCCCAATGCCTTTTCCCCTGTGCTGACTTCTTTGCAAAATCAGTTTGTGTTGCAGTGTGGAAAAACCATCACATGAGGACTGTTACCAATTACTTCATAGTCAACCTCTCCCTGGCTGATGTCCTGGTCACCATCACTTGTCTTCCTGCAACACTAGTGGTGGATATCACAGAGACGTGGTTCCTTGGCAACAGCCTCTGCAAGGTGATCCCTTATTTGCAGGTATTGTTTGCCAGGTTTGTGGTGCACATTTAAAAACAAACTAAGTCAGGGGAGCAATGCCACCGAACCTATAACCCAGAGGCTAGTTCATGATTATTAACATATTGCTTCATAGAAAAAGAAGAAGGATCACTCTGAAAATTAGAATAAGAGAGTTAGTTCTATCATTGTCAAATTTATGCCAGTTATAATAGTACTTTTGCTCTAACATCTAAATAAAGTAGAAACTAGAGTATAAAATTATATGTAAAATAAAGCAGAAAATAAATTTCACCCAAAGCAGCCTAGTACAATAATTGGAAAGAAGCAAAACTTATCAACAATTAAAATACTAGCTTCCTACACCCAAGACATTACAGACGTGAGAAAGACTGGACAATACCTGGATTCCAGGTATCCACAGAATAATTTTATGAAAAGAAGTGGGCAAAATAGTGGTATGAATGAGTAGTTCCATAGCCCGTACCGATAAAACTGATTTTTTTTTAGATGACACACACAAATGATGTGTGGAGTGGAATACACTCTAATATTGGTGAATTTCTGTAGTCAGCTCCTGGTATTTGGGTGTTCTGATGAAAATGTATAAGTGGCTGTTATGTGATACTGCTGTGTGGGTGAAAGTGAACGAGTGAGGGCCTCCCCATGATACAGAACATACAATTGAGGTTCTTTAGTCACATGGACATTCCCATGCATATATGGCTGTATATGTATGGGAGTGACAGCCATATGAGTCCCTTTCATTGTTCAGCTGAATATGAAGACTTCTGGGATGTGGGCAGGAATGCCAACACTGGAGGCAAAATCTCATTCATTCATACGTTCACACATATCAGAAGAAACAGAGTTATCTCTCATGTCTGCAAAGTAATGGATGACCTGGTTTCATAATCGGCACTGCAAACAAGGTTTCCGTCATACTTTATAGTGGAAACCCCCATAACCAGTTAAGACAAAGTCCTTCTTCCTCCTTACGCCCAATATATGAGAAGCAGGCATATGGATTGTTGCTCGTCTGATTCTCTTTTGTGCAGTGAAAAACTCCCTGCATATCAGAGAGAGAAATTTTAGCCTAACTTTCCCATGACATATTAGAATGTGGGAATTGTTTTGTCTGCTTTAAAAAAAAAAAAAAAAACAGCAACACTAGACCTTGCCAGTCCCTATTAGCAGTGCAAAGCCATATAGCCCAACTGCATCCTGCTTTCCTCGGACTGGGACTAGGATTAAAGAGGCTACTGGCAACTAAGCTTTGCTGATTGTGACCATGGTGTGAGAGACTATAGACTTCCTTCTCTGATTCCTTTGTCACTCACTGTATATTGTTGTCTGGGGTTTCTTTTCCCTTTGTAGACTGTGTCAGTCTCTGTTTCTGTACTAACCCTTAGCTGCATTGCGCTGGATCGATGGTATGCAATTTGTCACCCACTGATGTTCAAAAGCACAGCCAAGCGGGCCAGGAACAGCATCATTGTTATCTGGATTGTGTCCTCTCTTATCATGATCCCCCAGGCAATTGTTATGGAGTGCAGCAGCATGTTTCCGGGATTAGCTAACAAGACTGTCTTATTCACTGTCTGTGATGAGCATTGGGGAGGTGAGTGCTGGTGGCCCCAAGCCTGGAATTTGCAAGTCTCACTGTGTCAGGGAAAGAAAAGGCTATTGGTGTTTGTCAAATCTGCTACAGAAGACTAATTAGACTTTACTGGTTGACAGAATTGTTTTATATAATTTTCTGTGCCTTTCTTTGACTTTAATCTCTAAAGTATAAATTACATCAGCCGTGTCACTACTGTAATTCAGTCATATTCAATGGTAGTTCAAGAGAAGAGCCGTTGATCACCTGGTCTGTAGCAATTTGCCTTAGAAGAGCTTTTCTGTATATGGCTTTGGAGCTGGGTAGCTAATAGGCTGCCTTCTTCCACAGCTCAGAAATCAGGATGACTAATTTGGGGTCCCAAGCCCCCTTGTTATAAGGGCCTCCAAGCCTCCCCTGCCCCTATTGCTAACTAACGGTCATTTCCTGACGTTTTGTCATGGACAATGCACGAAAATTGTAATATGAAATAATTGTTTTAAACATACAGAGCCCTTCAACTTCTCTACCAAACCCAACCCTGTCAAATGTTTGATTTGTGTGATTTCTATAGACTCAGTACCCAACAATATTAATTGTGCCCTTAGCCATCCAAAGGTTGTCCACCACTTTATGTCAAAATCAAGATTAGTCCTCCTGTATGTCCTCCAAAGTGAATTACTGGATACATAGTCTAATATTGGTAGGAAGAATCCATTCCTCCCCTTCCCCTTCCCCTTCCCCTTCCCCTTCCCCTTCCCCTTCCCCTTCC